CCGCCTCATGAATATTCATGAGGGGCGGGGTCGTTATGATGAGGGAGTGATGAGGGAGGGGCGGCTGATTGGTCACTGCGGGCAGTCAGGGGGCGTGTGCGCACACCCGCACACACTTACACACTCATACCCACGTGCGCACACCCACACGTAGATACAAGATATTTGCACACCCACACGTACGCACCCCCGTACGCTCACACCCGCATGCACAAACATGTACACCCACACGAGCACAGACGTGGACACCCACCCGCGTGAACCCCCACACTCGCCCACATGCACATAGACACGTGTGCGCACGCACCCACACGGACTTGTACACCCAGCGGCGTGTGCACCCACATGTGCACAGACACATACACATGTATACACGCACACGTGTACACAGACACACGTACACCCACCCACATGGACCTACAGGTACAGGTACACCCAGACGTGTGCACGTCCACATGTACACACGCACAGAGACACGTGTACACACACCCACCCGTAGATATACACAGGCACCCACCCATACACACCCTCACAGGCACGCACACATGGCTGACAAAGCGTGAACTTTTCCCCAACTATTGAGTTGGTCTAATAAACAGACCACATCTCCCCAAAGGGCCTCGTCTGTGCACATGCGCACGCCCACGTGCACCTACCTGTACACAGGCACACTTACCCACCCCCCCGTTTGGTGCTGGCGGTGCGGTTGCCGCGGCTCGGGGCGGGTGTAAGGGCTGCGACGGGGGCTCGGGCGATCCCGTGCAGTCGGGTCCCCTTCTAGCATGTGCTGCGACGGCTGTTAGACGTCTGGTGCAGGCTCCAGGGACGGACGGTGTGTCGCCGCTCACGGCGTGCGATTAGCGGGGATCGTCACCTCGCACATCTCACAAGGGCTTTCGCCCGACAAGGACACTCCTCCAGAGAGAGGGCGCACGTTTGAAAGAGCCACTGGATACCGGGGGAAGAAGTGCTGCCGTGCAACAGAAAGTCCCCACGAACGCACAAGGATAGTTACGGCACCATCCTTCCCTGGGACCTGTACGGAAAAGCCTCAAACTACCGCAGCCCAGGCTAGAAGAAGACCCAATTCTTGAAGGAAGCCACCCATCCTAGCCCTTAAACACGCAGCGTCCCTCACCAACCTCATCACCAGCAGCAAACTTCCTGTGGCACAAAGCACACCGACCGGATCCCGACCGCGCCGGGGCAAGACACGTAAAACCCGCCAACACATCTCCACCGCTCCCAGAACAGCTACAAGAGAGCCGTCACCATTGCTGGGCCTTACACACGCACCTCCAGAAACGTCATACGTCGCATCCCGTGCACCGAATGCCCGGATGGAAAATACGGAGGAGACACCGAACGACAACCGCGCACCAGAATGAACGCACACTGCATCTCTCCACGACAACCCCCCCGAGGCCCTGTGCGTGCACATATCTCACAAGACAACCGCTCTCTCCGATCTCTCGGTTCTAATCCCCCACGGGAATCTGCAAAACACCTTTCGTAGACGAGCCGACGAACTTCACTTCATCAATCTGCTGGAATCAAAAAAATCATGGACTGAATATAGACACTGGATTTATGGCACATTATAACCTGCCTGCCACCCACTAGCCTCAGGCAAACTCTCTACATTTTACCAATCACCGGGTCGACACAACCCCTTTCTTGCACACCTGTTTCACACCTATTAACCCCCATCCCCTCTGATCTTCCCTGTCAGGCATTTGCATTTTCACAGACCTGCATTTTGCATAGTGGCTTCCATCGCTCCTGCTTGCACAAAACACCTATGACTTAGTGGGGCTAACGGAAACCTGGTGGGATTCGTCCCACGACTGGGCAGTACATATTGAGGGTTATAGACTGTACAGAAAGGACAGGGTGGGGAAGAAAGGGGGAGGGGTTGCGCTCTATGTCAAGGAGCAATATACATCGACCCTCATCAAGACGGAATCCAAGGATGAGGAGGTAGAAGGATTGTGGGTTAGGCCACATGGGGGGCAAGGAGAAAGGGATTTGGTGGTAGGGGTCTGCTACAGACCCCCACATCAAGGGGAAGAAAGAGATTCGGGGCTCCTGAGGCAGCTCTCGGAGACCATAAAAGCTAAAGAGGCGGTAGTCATGGGGGACCTAAACTACCCGGACATCTGCTGGGAGATGCAGACGGCAAAGTCCCACCGCTCACGCAGGTTTCTAACCTGTGTACAGGACATCATAGATAAGGGGATTTCCAGTTCATATTCAGTCAGTAGAGGGTCTTGTATTGGCAACGGGGGATGACTTGGTAGGGGACCTCCGGATCGGTAGCCATCTGGGGGTCAGTGATCACCTAATACTAGAATTCACCGTAAGACGTCGAGTGGGTAAGGTAACTAGTAGGGTGAAAGTGCTAGACTTTAGG